GTTTATTTGTTTAGTCCTGACAAGCTGATCCTTGAAATGTCATGTTGAATTACAAGTGAATAACTTTTATTTTAAGAATATCAACACATTTTTACTGAAGCTCACTGAGTTTTCCACAAATTGTGACTTCAGAAAACATTTCAACAACAAAAAAAATCTATTTGGGTGCTGCTTTATTTGCTCTGCAGTTATTGAGGTTTAATAAAAGCTTTGGGTAAAAAGCAAAACCTCCAGCTACCTGTTCAAATCCACAAGGCAGCAGACACTCTCTGTCCTGCTGCTGAAAGCCAGAAAATACAACCACAGGAAGCCCTCTCTGATTCCCAAACATGGCTGCTTGTCTTCCTGAGCTCCTCTTCTCTTTTCATAGCTCTAGACATCACATTCCATCTGGCTAAGTCAGGCTGTGTGACACCTCCTGATCTCATGTAAATCTTGTATGACCAGTCACAGCTCAGTAACTTGCTCAGCTTTCAAAATAACACGTACTGTGGGTAGCTGCCATATGCAGACAACCTATGAACAGGCCCAAGCTACTTTCTTGGGAATTAGGAGTTAACAAGAATGCCAGTGCCAGCAAATCTCAGCTGAAGGTTCCAGTACTATACATTAGTTAACAGTTAATATTTATTACGCATGGACATTCATGCTCTAGGTGGGTAAAATAATCATTGGAGCAAGGGAATTTATCATCATGTACCTCAGTCATTCACCATCTGAAACTTAGTACAGTATTTAAACTCCTTGAACATGTTCAAATCAAGATGGAAAAACACCTGTTGAATAATTATCTCAAATGGTTTAAGTGCAACATCTGGCCACCCTGCAAGTGTGCACCTGCCTGAAATTATGGCCAGAAGTGCTAAAATTCAGCCCTGGATCAGCAAATTGGCTTTTAGTACATAAATATAGTATAATCTTAAATTCTGCTATATCACATCCTGTCTTATTAGGCTTCATGTGTGAGAAGGAGTAAACTGCCAATTTTCCTGTGAGACACAATGTGATAAATGGATAGTGTGATGTAGGCTCTGGCGAATGTTAAATGTGTGTTATAAGGTTGAAAGAAGTTCTGTTAAGATCTGGTGTTTTTTATCTAAGTTTTGTAATGTTCAAAGTTGATCCGAGAGGACGGATGGAGAAGGAGCTGGGTTGGAAGAGTGACACACGTACAAGTGTGGGGAGGGCTGGCTTACCAAGAGGTTGGCTTCTCACTAGTGGATATAAGGATTGTTACGGGTGTGAGCGGTGCTCCCCTGGCTGCAGCCAAGCACCCAGCGCTGTCCTTTTTTCCTTATTCAGTCCCTTGTTGCGGTTCAAAATTTTAAAGTTTTTTTTAATTTTAAAAAATTTTATAAATTTTAAAAGGTGAGGCGTCGTTTCTCACACACAACATACCATTTACATTCTAGCTTGGCTTTTCAGCTAGCACCAACATACATACAGAGGGAAATGTAGGGGGGGAGGTGTTTGCGCACACTTGTGTGTGTGCCAGTTTGCTTACGGAGAAACATCTACCCAGACAAGAGAAAGAAAACAGCAAGCATATCTGTCCCAGAACGGGGGACAGCACCAAGAATTCTTTGAGTATTTGTCCAAGTTCCCAGTGGTTTCACTACTGAGGAGTTTTGTGCCCCTCATCAAATCATCTAGGGAACTACAGGCCCACTAATTTCACCTCAGTTCCTGGGGAGTTGATACAGCACTTAATCCTAAGGCACATTAAGGATAAGAAAATCATCATGAGTATCTAACCAAGAAAAAGTCATGCCTGAATAACTTGACAAGCTTCTAAGATGAAGTAAATCTACCTGGCCTGGTAGATGAGGAAGGAGCAGCAGATATTTTCTACCTGGACTACAATAAGGCCTTTGACACTGCCTCCCACAAGATCTTCCTAGAGAAGCTGTTCATACAGGGAATGGATGAGCAGACAGTGAGGTGGACTGAAAACTGGCCAGGCCCAGAGGCTGGACATCAGTGAGTCAAAGTCTAGTTGGATGTCACTGACTGGCAGTGGGGCACAGGGGTCAGTGCTGGATCCTGTTTAAGATCTCCATTAATGACCTGGATGAGGGGGCAGACTACCTTCAGCAAGTTTGTAGGTGACACACCTGGGTAGCACTCAGGGAGCATCTTATCAATGTCATACCTGAAGGGAGGGTCCAAAGACAACAGAGCTGGGCTTTTTACTGGTGGCTAGAGACAGAACCAGAAGTAAGGGGTGCTAGTTGAAACCCAGGAACACTAGGAAACATTTTTTCACTTGCGACAGTGACCAGGCACTGGCACAGGTTGCCCAGGGAATATGCAGAATCTCCTTCCTTAGGGATATTCAAAACCTGTCTGACACAGTTCAGGGCAACTTGCTCTAGGTGTCCTCACCTGAGCAGCACAAGGACCATGTGACCTCCAGAGGTCCCTTCCAACCTCACCAATTCTGTTCCAGGAAACAAACCAACAAAACCCCCCAAAACTAAACAAAACTGGAAAACCACAGTTAAAAAAAAAATAAAAAACCAAGAAGAATACTTAGATGTCATTTCCAATCTCTGGAAACGGCACCTACCCACTCTACAGGAGCATCAAGCCATTTTCATTCTATATTTCCATGTGTAGGTGGCATAATTTACACAAACACACACACACATGCACACACAGAACTGCAGAACTGAAAAAGAAAAAAAAATCCTCAGCAACAGGCTGACATTTTTATCAAAATTCTCACAGAGATAAATGTGCACAGATTACTCACTTTCAAGGATTGTCTGCACCTGCAGAGAGGCTCCTTTATATCCCAGTATCTCTAACTTCATGCACAACACAATCCCATCAGCCTAAGCCCACATGCTTCAGCTGCATCTGGCCAAGAGCAGCCTCAGTACTTTCCATGGATTTCAAAAGCACTTATATGCAAGAGCACAACCTGCATTTTGGACACCTTCAATCCAGCTACTTCATGCTGAAACCTCCAGACAAACGGAGTATGTGAACAGTATGAAAATTTCAGCAACACTGTATCTTGCTACAGCATGTTTGGATCTCCACAGGGTTTAAGGTATCTGGAAATTCAAGATAATTTATGAAGGCACTAAATCCATACTCAGTTCTAACTCCTTTTCTTGGGTTGCCATTTAGTGATTTCTATGTTGAATATACTCACTTCACTGGTAACCGGATTTTATTATGTTTTAATTATTACTTCATCTGTTTTTTCAGGTCTTGCTGGATTATTGATTGCCATCAGCCGAAGATTCCTCCAGCCAAATTATGTCTCCAGCTATACCTGAGTGACTGCTCAATTTAGTTCAGCAATTGGGACTTAATTAAAAATTCTGTTAAGAAGGTGCTGGCCAGAAAAGACTCATCATGGCAGAGTGGCATTCACTTTGCAGCACTGATAGGAACATGAACTAATAAAAACTTTTTTTCATGCTAAAATGAATTGCCTGAACTCTCACTAGACAGTAGGAGCAACTGACATAAAATGAGAATCGTATCAGTGAGCAGATCTGTTCTACAAGAATTACTCTCTTCAGTCAATCACTTTCCAAATTAAAAACCACATCAAATAAAGGGAATCTCCATTACTACATCAGAATATATAATTTAAAGCTACTTACCCTGCCAGAGACAAACTGTATGTAAATGCACCCAAAGTTATTCAGAGAACTGAGAGAGCATGAAAGTTTTCATTGTGTCCTTTCCAAACAGGGCCATTTCTTTTATTTTGACCTTTAATCCATTGCTTGGTTAATTTCTGTTCTTTGTGTCATTACACACAGTGCAGCTAAACAGAGCATTCTACACAGAGAGCTCAAACTACCCTTTTTTAAGCTATTATATCACCCTAAATTTCAATTACGTTGAAACACTGATTTTGTAGCACTAAAACAATGGTGAGAGTTTTATTTATATTTATAGTCTGGTTTTCTACCAGGGATATGTCTAGTAGTTCCACAAGAGCAAACTAAGAAAAGAAGAATACCATCAAAAACCCCTTAACTTTCCTAGGCTGGCCTGAACTGGAAAAATTTCATAGGTCAGAACGATTGGAATAAATAGAACAAAATCCTCAAAGTCTGAAAAACTTGGCTGAAAATGCTAAAATTGAAAAGACCCCTGAGTCTAAGATGTTGCTTTCTGCATATGCTCACCATTATTTTTATCTTTCCATAGATAAGACAATCCTATGCTGAGTGCTAAAACTCTTGAAAAGAGAGGGATGAATATGCACTCAAAATTAACTGGATTAAAAAAATTCCTAATTATCTCTTACATACTTTCCATTCTCTTTTTAAAGTCACACCTTTTAGCTTGATTAACCACAAACACTCAACTGTAACTTTTAAGTAAAATAACCAACAAGATGTCACTAAAAAGATTACATTCCTTTCTATGTTCTATAGTTACAATTTGAATTTCTTTAAGATACCATGTTTCCAGTTATCAAAGAAATTATTTCCATGATCGGGCAAAATAACACGAAGCAGGATTTTAATCAAAAATGCAAACTGCAATACAGGGTAAATTGATAAGGCAAATACATTAGTTTTACTAACTTCAACAACAAATGCAACTGTAATGCTCAAAATTTGCAAATCAAGCTACTCTGCCACCAAATCCACTGCCACCTAATAATAAATCCTCCTCTCCTCCACAATATTCCTTGTCATTATATGGTAATGCCTGGTGGTCACTATCATTATCTCTGCTATTACATAGCTTTTATGAAAAAATAAGGCCTAAAGGGAAAAAAAATTATGATGCTTCATTATTTATTCATCTTGATTTTTAATCTAGATTCCAAAGAGAAGTTCAGTTTCGGATTCAAAGTGTGTTGTGGTTAATGGAAAATCTCCCTTTGGTCTTGCAAGATTATGCCACAGGCTTCAAATTGCTGCTTCTCTTTATTGTTCTTGCTATTTCAATTTTGCCTCACTATGTCTATGCCATCCTAAAGTGTCAGAAGAATCAATTTTACTTTATTAAGCACTCACCTCAAACCACTGGCCATGTGACTGCATTTTAAGGATGACACAAGGATCTGGTTTTGAGAGGGCATCCCTGTCTGATATGCCTTTGCATGCAACTCGCAGCTCCACTTTAGTCAGGCATGGGCTGTTAAAAATTCCCAGGGTATTGGCTGCTGATTCATAGATGTTGCTCATTTTCTTCATTCCTTGCTCTGAAAGAGAGAAAAAAGTTCTATTAAGGATGGTGCACACACAGTACAGCCCCTCCTTCCACACAGAAGCCAGTGTGAAGTTCTGCTAGACAGTAACAGTGAATGAAAACCAGAGCAGGAGGGGGAAATAATAAAATCAAAGGAATACCTATAGTAAAAAGAAATAATCATCTCAAATGTTGAGAAGTGAGTTCAGAAGGAAATTTTCCACTTTGTCTCTGAACTCTGGGGGAGCTGTGACCTTGACTTCCAGCTCTGTTTCTGCTTACAGAGCCACATTTCCCTAGGCCAAAGGATAGATAGACAGGATGGTAATTCCAAATTTCTTATGGTTACACCTTAACAAGGGTAAATTAAATTTGTTCAGCTCTCCTCCAATCTACTTTTATTTCCCTCTATTTCTTCTAAAGAGTATGCACTTCTTGCACAAACCTTTGGTACAAATGCCATAAAAGGCCCCTTTCATACTAACCTTAAACCCTTAAATACATTTCACTGTTTCCACACTTAATGCAGAAGATTACCTGCCTCCGTTCCTAAGCAAGTAGCCAAGACTGATGTTCTAAACAGAAAGGCAGGATATTTATGCTGCCATGTCTTGTTGTTACAGTGTTTGCTCTTTTGGGTCAGGAATCAGAGTTACTTGAGCACAGATACCTGGAATAACAGGGACCTCCAACCCTTACTTCATTATGAACAAGACCACCACCAATCTTGTAGCTCAAGAATTTCTCTCAACAGAAGCAACAAAAATATTTTAACACAGAGCTTACCAAAAACCCCTATATGACCATTTTTGCATCAAGAAAGAATAAGGGAACACTCCAATTTGCTCATTTGCTCTGAGCTTCACAGCCTGACCCTTTAAAAATCTGCTTCCTAATACATGGATTAGTGCCTTCATCACTTTACCCCATACATAACAGCCACAAAAAATGAATCTCATACTTTTAGCAGGCAGATTTGTCTTGCCATTTTATCAGCAAGATATTTTAGTGTCTGTTTCAAACCTTTTTACTGTCTATTCCACAACACTCTGTTCTCAGAGGTTAATGAGTTTTGAGAACTGTTTTGATAAAAATTACATTTCAGAGATATGGAAACGCAAGTGAAGTTTTCTTTCCCCAAATCTGTTAAGTTAAAAATAAACTCAAAACCCACAAAATCATGCCTATCCAGTTTTCCTATGAATTCAAAAGGTAAAATAGGAAAGGTATTTCTCAATTCAGAGTAAGGGGAGTTGGCAATAGAGTGTGAACCTCTAACACATACAGACAAATTTCAGGAATGTAAGTCTGTATGATGAGGCAGATTATCTGCTCCCCTGCCAGAAGGGATAAAAGCTTGTTAACAATTTAGAATTCTTCAAATCTATACAACAACTTAGTATATGATCATGGATCTGCTGTGACTACCTCATTCAGATAAAAGTGAAGTGAGCCCAAGTGGACACCAACCACTCTCTGAACCTCAGGCTCTACAGGCATATTTAAAATATAAGCCCCACCACAAACACAGTGCCTGACATCCTAAAATCAAAACAGTCACCTTCAGCCCCTCCCAGTTACTTGTACATATTGTCACCTAAACTACAGTTCCTTGGGTTTACTGCTAGGAAAGAAACATGACTGAGAAATTAGGCAAAACTAGCAAACACATGGAAAAGGTAATGATATGGGGCTACGCTATAAAGCAAGGGACTGGAGAGACTGTTGTCTAATTATTCATCATTTTGTAATCCCATCTCCTTCAGAAAGCTGCTCAACCAGCTCATCCCACACATTTACAAGACATTTTCACATGCTGCCCTTTCCAAATTGAAATCCATTTGAAAATTGGGCTAATTCTGTCTCATACACATCATACATCATTAATAAAATGTCATCCTTTGTGCAGAAATAGGCTGGTTATTTAATTAAACTGGATGATTTCAACAGTGAAGAGAAGAGGAAAAAGTAGCAGAGTGAGGGGGAGAGATGCATTTTTCTTCCTCCTACAATAATTATATATTGGTTTTTCAGAACAGCAGGTAAGTATAAAAACTATATTTCTTTTTATCACTACAACTATTATTTCAGCTTTTGCAAGTTCTAAATTTATCAATGGAAAAGATCAAGCCACAGCCTTATTCTTTTGTCTCATTATATTCCTTCTTTTAATATAATCACCAGCTTGGGCTGTTGTGCTGATGTCACATCACCAGGAAGCTGGAGGCCTGGAAAATAGATTTTTGAGCCCACTGAAAGTGGCTAAAAACAGTATTGTTTTGCACAAACATAGACAAGTTAGATTGCATAAGAAGCTTTTTGTCAATTAACTACGTAAGTTATTGACGGGGGGGAAAATTATTCATTTTTCTTTGCTACAAACCCTTCCTTTCTCAGTTCATTAGAACCTTGTTATTCCTTCAATGTCCACACAGTTTCAAATTCACTGAACAAGAGCTGAACCCATTAGATGAAAGCAGTAACACAGATACAAAAAAGTGAAATAAGTGATAGGTCACATATTTCTAAAGTTTTCATTTCATCATTGCATACATTCTCTCCTTTTTCCTCTGGAAAACAGGAAAGTGGTGGATCATACGCTTCCCACACAAATTTATTAGGCAGTGCTAGACTGAACAGAATGGGGAAGCAAAACCAGGCCTTCTGTTTTCACCCCTCCATGGTGAAACATCAAGAAAACAGTACTGACTAGAAAAAAATTAAAACTGCACTATGCTGAAATTGAAACTTATTAGGCTACAAACCTCCACCCCAAAAAGCAAAGACAAAAAAAAATCCAAACAAACACAAAAAAAACCAAAACCAACCAAACAACAACAACAACAACAAAAAACCAACACCAAAGAATGCATCAGCTACAAAGAAAAAGTGAGAACCTTGAAGACAGATCTCTGTCTCCAGTGTCTCAAACAAGTTCTATATCTGGCATACATACTTAGGGCTCATTTACTAGAAGTTAATATGCCCTTTTGACCTTTCTAAAGAGATTCATGGCTCAAAGTGATCTTACTGATAGATATGATGAGATGGGGAATTAAGGACACGAAGCCAAATTCTTGTCTGTAGTACCCAGTGAAAGGACAAGAGGCAAATGGCACAAACTGAAATTCAGGAAATTCTGATTAAAGAAAAGGAAATTTTTTTACTGTAAGTTTGGTTGAACACTACAACATGCTTCTCGGAGAACTTGTAGAGTCTTCATCTTTAGAGACATCCAAAACTCGTCTGGACATGGCCCTGAGCAACCTACTTTGAGCGCAGGCTTAGAATAGATGATCTGCAGAGGTCCTTTCCACCCTCTTCTACTCTGTGACTAAGCAGTAAACAATCAAATTATAAGCTTTTTAGGGTACAGATTGTCTCTGCGATATATTATTGTACTAGTTGATTATTTGGGTCCCTTGGCTCCAAAGTCATGCAGAAAATCAAAATATAAACATGACCCCAGAATTATTGGTACAAAATAGTGCTACAAAGGCTCCTATGTGTAGGTATTTAATTAAAAGCAAAAGCACACGAGTTCAGAAAATTGTGCCTGCCTAGGTAACTGGATTACAATGACAATCAGTATTACACATTTGACAGCTACATCTTTCTCTATTCTATACTAAATGGCTTAAAAATGTTCAGTTGTCTAGTGCCTGCAGAAGGAATGATCTTTGTGACACAGAATACAGCCAGTACATGCCTCTCTCTGGGAGCTAAAAGACTTGAATTCAGCTCACACAACCAGATCCAACTCATTACAAAATGGTGATCCACATAGCCTCACCACAAACCCATAACCAGGCTTCTTAGATTCACCATGAAATAAATATAAGATGCTATCTGAATTCAGATTTCAAGTTTACTCCATTGCCCACAATGTCATTTTGCCCTTCTACACACCCACAACATCCAAACAGCTTTTCTGCAAGTTGTCTGGGTGAAAAATGAAGAGATTGCTCTCTATGGCACCTTGAAGAATCAGGGAAACATTCACACTCAGCCTCACCTTCAGTTCAGGTAATAAGTGAGCACCAAACTCACAAAAGCAGAAAGATGCTGAGATTAAAAGCAGTAACCAGTGTGTTTTGCATTTACAGAAAGGTCTTGTTATTTATAAACCTGTACTCCAGACCAAACTACACACAAATGAATTTGGGGGTTGCAGGTTTCTCATCACCCTATCTTGAGAGCTGTGTCTGAATTATTTTACTGGCACTTTAGTCATGAAGTGAAAATTAGCTAATAGCATCTGTCTGCTTCTGCAGAAGTAAACAGCAAGAGTCTGCTCCTGGAAAGGTAAATTATGTTTGCAGTATGTACACATGGCGGGAAATACTAATAGTAGAGTTACATGAAATAGAAGCGGTGAATAAGTGCCTCCAAAAGAGAGCAACCGTAAAAGCACTGGATGTTGTGGCACTAGCTGCTGCCTATGTATTTATACTTATAAATTTTATATGGGAGAGACGTTTAGTATTCCAAACACATGAACAGCTTAACTCTCTAGGCAGAAAGCTTTGTACCTACAGTTTCTGGATCTTTCAGGGGTTAAAGTCTAATAAAAGGAAGTATAAAACCCAAGTCTACAGTTAGAAGCTTAAAATTAATAAAACTCAGATCAAGTTAAACAAAATATAGTAAGAGCAAGATTTATGCTGAAATTATGTTGGGTGTTCAGGTAGCAGTTTTTAAAGGTTCCTCTCTTTAGTAACTTGTTCAGCTCCAGCAGAATGTAGGCCATGGACCCCTTCAGGGAATGACAGCAATTGAGGTAACTAATTATTTTTCTTTAAAAAAAAATTATGTAATTGGGAATTCCCAGTCTCTAATAATTACTGTATCAGCTGTTGGCACCAAGACTCCCCTGGCTGTGAAAAGCAAGTCCAATCCTTCAGATTCAGCTGTAAATAAAGTTTTGTACAAATGAGGAAAGGTGGGAATTCATCAGGAGTTCCTGATTCAGGAAGTTCATTAAATTAATATTCCATGTGCTTAAATCAGGAGCTCACTAAGACACCTGGCTTGCCCAGGTCTGAACAGAAACCCCAGCATGGCAGGGAAAGCAGACCTATCTTTATTATAATATGTATTAAGTTTTTTTCATTGTGTCTAATCTTTGTTGCTGCTGTGGCCATTGCCTTGGCCATTCTCTGTGCATCTCTGGAAACTGCTCATGAACAATCAGTGCTATCTTAAAACAGAGTCATTCAATTACTTATTTTTGACCATGTTCCTAAACTCCTGGTTTTCAGCCAGATCTTAAATCACTACACAAGACTCTCAGCCTGTTGGCATTAAAAAATTATCCTGGTCAGCATCGATTATATTATAAATTGCTACAAAACTGTAAATAATCATAGATAATACAAACAAAATGCAAGCTGACAAAATTAATTTTAATATGAATTATTAAGTAATGAAAAGTCAATAGGTTAAATAGACCCCTCCACAGGATAGTCTGTGCAATTAAAAATACAATTTTGCCTCCTCCACTTTGATTATCTGACAACTATTAACGAAGATTTATTTGAAGTTACACCTACCGGAGTCTGATAAAGGCCTTTGAAAAATGAGCAATAAACTCAGTAAGGAAGGGGGATCTGGAGAATCCACAGCAATGCTATGGTGAACAATGAGACAGATCTGATAATACAAGTAATCTATTTGGACAGAAGGGGAGAAGGTTCAGAACAAAGTGCCAGCAGTGTAAATGAAAATATACAAACACTGACAGTTCAAAGGGACTCATTACCATAGAACCAACTGTTTCAATTATAAGGGGGAAAGGGAAAGTCACTGGAAAAAAAATTGAGACAGCTAATGCATGACAAAACACTGTACAAAAGTGTGCTGCACCTATACAAACAACCCCATTTCAACTGAGAGAAGGAAAATCCCCATGATATCTAGAGCACTGGGAGTTGCTTGAATGTGCCCAGTTCTGGATGCTCTGGTGGCTCCCACTGATTTCAGACTCAGTGCAATGGAAAGCACCTGTAAGAGTCAGTGCTAAAATACACATATTTTATTATCCTACACTGGCAGAGCAAATCTAGGATTTGCCCTTACTCTTTTAGCATGTAACTAATGCCATGAGTCATCTCTTACTTCACAGAATTCCCACTGTCTTTCTTCTTACAATGCTGTAAAATATGCAGGGGAAGAGAAATCAAAAAATTCACTGATACAGAAAAACAGGAGACTGAACAAATACAAGATCAAATAATCTTCATAGGGATAAATATGGACAATTCCCCAACTAAAAAGCAGTCTCAATGCTTTTCACTGGAAAAGCAGCAGAGATTTTTTTTTTTTCCACAGAATTAACCAAAGTCTGCTTCATTTACATTCACTGGATTTGTACAAGTCAAAAGGAGTGTGCCTCTCCTGCAGCAAGGCTGAATTTCAGGCTGGCTACAGAGAGTGTGTATTCAGTCTTGTTTGTAAAATGACACCTTCTAAGACAGTGTGTTGGTTTAATAGGATAACAAAATGTATTTTATTTGGAACACTGTGGAAGCTAGAGAGAAAACAGACTGGCTCATCTGTATGCTGACACATAGTAACACACACAATTGTCCTCTTATCCAGTCTTGTTTTCTTAAATATGCCTGTCCAAAGCCTCCATTTGCAACTCAATACTGTCAAGCAAAAACATTAAATAGTCCAAATTTTCCTCTTCCAAATCATGAAAATGGCATATTTTACCTTAGAAAACATTAAAAAAAGTGGTTTTGTTCTTCATTTCATTTAATTTCTATTTGGAAAGCAATTAGAACTGATGTTCTACAGCCCTTTCTCAACATTATAAGTTAAAAATGTATTTAAAAAGCAAGAAAAAGAAATGCCAGCAAAGTTCACACTGTTCTATACCATGACTCCTGGAGCTGATCATTTATAAGCAGCACTGAAACCCCAGCAAAATTCAGGCTGCCACCAGTAAATTATTTGCCTGTTGGTTTGGGTATTAGTTCTCAGACTCTGGCTTGAGTCTGTGCTACTCTTGAGAGAATACCTGAAGCACAGGCAGCTGTAAGAGCAGGGATCAAGCATCGATACATGAAAAGCTCAGGACCATTGAATCCACTTCAAACACTGAGGAGTCACACACACACAGAGAAATCCCAAACCTACAATATGCAAGCAGTTTGCGAATGTAAGTGACATGTAAGCCTAGCAGATCAGAGAAATGTAATTGAATCTCTCTAATCAAAGATTTCAAGGCTACTATCATGTGATACTTATTTGACTGCTTATCACTAATAGCCATTACGGTTTTCTTAGGCTTGTCATTTCAGTTTGCTGCTTGCACTGAGTGATATATCAAATGAAACACAGGAATAAAAGTATATTCACTATGAGGATATGTGTTTGCTGCTTTTTTAAAATTGGTTCTCCCAATTAGGTATTAGAGAGAAAATAAAAGTGTCTTAGCAAGAAACAAAGCTTTACAACATAGTTACTTATCCAAGAATCTTAAATAATTGGATATTGTGCAATACTTCAAAGAAAGATAAGCCTGGAACAAAATCAAATAATGCCAGCACTCTTAAGGTGTAGCAGTCAAAATTCTGGTATCAAATAAATCCAGCTGAGAACCTTCAGAACATGTTTCAGAACATGTTTGAGGCAAAATAATTCTTGAAATAATTAGACAATTCTGAACAACATCTCTAGAACATTAATCCTTGCCTTATCATCCACACTTGCACAAAAATCATTTGAAATTAAAATTACCCTTATCCACCCTGCACAAGCATACTGTCTATCAGCTAGAGGAGAATCACAGAACTGTTTATGTTGAAAAGACCCCTATGATTGAGTCCAGCTGTTAACCCAGCAGTGCCAAGTCCACCACTAATCCATGTCCCTCAGCACATCTACACATCTTCTAAGTATCTACAAGGACACTGAATCAACCACTTCCCTGGGCAGCCTGTTCCAGTGCTTTACAACCCTTCTGGTGAAGAATTTTTCTCCTAATATCCATTCCTAGTGCAACTTGAGGTCATTTCCTCTTGTTGTATGGCTCATTACTTAGGAATGAAGCAGCAAGTTGTGTTCCTCAGATATACTCAATTACACCAGAGTATGTATATAAACACATGTAATGCCTGGAAGAGTTTATCCATTTACAGATGTAACATATTGCAAGCTGCTAATTTTCCTCAACAGATGGCTTTAGTGGCTCTTCCTGCAGCATGAAAATGATTCTACAAGAGAAGCTGCTTCCTGCTCCTGATCCAAAGACAGGCACACACACAGAAGAGCAGTGAGGAAGGACTTCCCATTTACTGTTTAGCTACTGCATTTGCAATACAACCATAAGGTACACCTGCTGTAAGCTGGCTCAGGGTTCCCTAGCACTGTGAGAAAAACTGAATTTATAGATTACACAGGGGTCATGTTGAGCCCCAAACCAGGACAGAGCTTTAAAGTCAAGTTGCTCTGTCAGGAAGGGAAGGAGAAGAAGGAAGGGAGCAATGGATAGTGCTGCAAGCAGCTGCTCTCTCACTTCATAGTTGCTCCCTCAACATGTTTGACCGCTCTCAGCAACAAGCAGAACTCTTGAATGGCCTCTCCAGACTCTGACAGACAAGAGCAAGCTCCCCCTCAGGGGGTTTCTGGGCAATGAGCACATTTACCTGATGGCTGGAGCCAGTCCTGAGCTCATTCCCTTTGTGACAGAGGTTCAGGGACAACACATTGGGGTTTGTACCACTAGCTAAGTTAGACCCTGAGCCTTCCTTGCCTTCTTGACATTTACTTACTTTCTATTTTCTTTCCAAAGTCCTTGATCAAATATTTGAAGAGTCACCCATGAGACTTAGCCATGTGAGCCAAGCACGCATTGCCACTATCTCAGCTAAATCGGCAAGGGATATGATCACATTGCAGCTCCAACTGCAGGCATGAGAAGAGCCAAGGCAGCCAAATTGTATTTATATGGAGAGTGTTAATTTCTTTCCTACTTCCATTTCTACTAGCTTATTCTGACTTTCCTCTAGGAACTTATAGCCTACTCCATATTGGGAGTATTTTGCAATCACAGTACCACCATACTATGATAGACTCAGTCTCTGAATAAGCCAGTAGCTATTTTTGGTATCAAATTGATTCACAAAAGAATTGCAGCATGCTGTCAGCAAAAAGTCCTACCAGTGCCAAATGTACCGCTGGTGCCAGTGCCGTGCCATTCCTCTGCTGGCGTGTCCATGCTTCCCAGGAGCTGTGCTCTACTGAGCTACCAAAGATGGGTCCTAACGCGTCAGGACACAGCGCAGCCTCACAGAGATCCTAACCTGGGCCCTGGAAGCAACAGAGCTTTGTCAGCAATGTTATAGTAGACCTACCGCCTTCTGACACAGTGCCAAGACTTTGGCTAAATAACACTTTCAAAAACAAGCTCTAGAAATCCAAGCCACCAAGAATCTTCAAGAGTTTCTCTCCCTCGGAAATTCTTGCGGAGTGAGAAATATCCATGTTGTCAATCAGCAATAAAGATGAGAAGCGAGCTGCTTGGAATATATTTTACAAAACTTTGTCTGACATGAGGTTGTCCTTCAAGCACTTCTAAGAGAAACCTAGGAGTATAAATAAGAGTTATGTCTTTCTTTTGAAATCCTCATCGGTCTTTGTTAGCATATACTGACAACAAAAGGGCAAAACAAAATTCAGCTCTTATAGTGATTACAGAGTTAGACGTAGAGGGAAGGGGTTCTCAGTTCCTAAAATGATGAACAAAAAAGAATCAGCTCACATAATCAGTATTGATGGGCATCCTACTGCCACCTGCCATGCACAAAACACGTGCTGGTCTTGACACCACTGCCTGGTAGAACATTTCATGAAATTCACATTAGGCAAGCAATACCCTTAAGATTTAGGCACATATTGCACAGGATTCCACCTACACTCATCTGTCTTTAAAGGACAAATTTATACAAAGTGCAATAAAGTCCATGAACGACCCACTGCTAACAGAGAGAAAAGAATGCCTATAAGCCAGAAGTGATGGCATTCAAGGGAGAGGAGACACAAGAGGCTGGTATTGAAGTCCCAGCCAGATGTTTCCACTTCACAAATGCAATCACTATGGTCAAATTATCTAAAGCATAGTTCTGTACGAATTGGGAGTTGAAAGTCATTTCCAGGCTTTCTCTCCAGACCTGTGAAACTCTTAATTCCTTCCCTCACCTGCCCTCTACTATGATTGCTCTTCAAACAGAAATTTACCTACTCTCTTACAATGTTTGTTGAAGGCCAGTTGCAAAGCATCAGGAACATAAGGAATGGTAAGGCAGAGTCACCACAATATTTCCTAAGAGCACAGAAGAGTAGAACTAGCCTCATATCCCATCATGCCAAAAAGGAGTGTTGATAACTAAACTGGGTCCCAAATATTCCATGGGAGATGCCACAAAATTTAAAACATGTTAAAACCTGACTGTTGCTAAGAGCACAAAGCAATGTCTTCCTTGTTGAAGTATTTATATCTCTGTTAACTCTGAATGGATAGCCACTGGGCTTCTCTATACCTGCATATATTTAGAATTAGGAAAATGCATGTTGGCAGTAACCAAAATGCAACTATACCAACAAACAATACTCAAATCAATCTTTGAATTCTTCAGTGATAAAAGGCATTTCCCATGCACTGTGTGCTTATCTGTGTCTTATTCCTGATCTGCATTGTTCCAGTGCAAATAGATCCAATAGTCAGAGATATTTTTCACAACTTAAAAATAATTATAATTTCATATAATTACTGGTCTAATGTGTGAACATGTTTCAATGAACACATGTATAGGGTAACTCCAAAATGAAAGATTTAAAAGGCCTTCATAAGCATGGAACCCAAGATCATCATTTTTGCTCCTCTTAACTAGTAGAAGATTTGGTTTTTATTTTCTTCTCTAATGTCAACAAATCCCTTAGGTAAAGGTGCTTGGAGAGGAAACGAACAAGCAAAAAACCCATAAAAATTAATAACAGAGAACATGGGTTATAGTAAATGCATGTCCTCACAAATCAGCCCACCCAATGCATGTCCACCAAAATCTCAGTGACAGATGCCTTTGTAATTTCTTTATGGTATCAAATCCAGCCTTGGATACCTGTGGAAAAGAGGTACTAAAAATTTCTAAAACATTTTGAAAAGATATGGACTTTGACAAGAATTTTGCTGTTTCAGTCATAAGCACTCTTTTCCAGTTACAAAGATTACAGCAATTCAGATCTGACCCAGTGAATGATGGATGACACTCTTTATGCTCTGGAGTCAACATGAAAATTTTACACCTATAATTTCTGCCTTCTACAAAAATTGGGTTATACAATAATGAGGTGCTTGACTGCTGTTGCATTAAGTCTGTAATGAGACTGAATGCACAGTCACACCATTTAGTGTTTTAAATTGCTTCAGAGTAAATACATCAACAAAGACCGAGCTGGGATATTAAGATAGAGCAGTACATCAAAATACGACGTTAACTTGCTGATGGTTGCATGAAAATTATTTCCGTATTTCACTGAAGAATTCTTCAAATGGTTCACTTGTGTAGTATGTTATTAAATGAAGCACATAGAGGCATCTTAAACATTAACTTAATTGAAGGTAGGCATAACACAGGCAAATATTTAATACTTGCTGTAGGAAAACGTCAATTCTTCTCATGAGATTTTTACCATAAACTAAAAAGCCTGACGTGAATTACATTTCCTACATATGCTGGCTCTTAATTTTTCCTTTTAACAAGAACATGGGCATTTTACAATATGCTAAGAAAACTGTCTCCGTCAAATGATTACTGCAGCATTTCTTATTTAGCTACTTCCAGTGTGAAATCTCAGCTTTTTTTTTTCCATTCCTCCCCTTTTTCGGCCTCTGAGCATCCATGTTCTTTCCATCTATGGTAAGTAGCCTATGACCATATCAGACTTCTGTCAAGATTATGCTTTCAAGTGATAGGTTGCCCAAGAAAATTCTCAGAGCAGTTTGAATATACCTATATCATATTTCCCAGTGATATCACAAAGGAACTCTTTCTCGGTCACTTCAATGTCTGACAAGTGCTGCAGTCAAATTGCACTGGGTCTTCAACACAGTTAATGCAGGCCAATTGTCTAATAAGAGTAATTTAGGTTGAGAGGGATCTCTGGGATTTTCTATTTTCCATCCTTAGCTCAAAGCAGATCTGGTTCAGGTAAGCTCTGGCAGTATCCAAGGATGAAGATCCCACTACCTCTCTGGGCCTCTCTTCCAGCATTTGACCACCATGCATCTGACAGCAATTTATTGTTCATTTTACTTGTTAGAGATTATTCCTGCTGCCAAACATCCTACCACTGCTCCTCCAAGAAAACCCTCACTTCACCTTCTCAGATGACAGCATTAAGATCACATTCCCTTAGCCTTCTCCTTGTGACACTGAACAAAGCTAGGATCCTTCCAGGACTCCCTTTGACTTCACTGACTTAGCCAGCTAGTGTGTCAGAAGGTCTGGTTAACTCAGTTAAAATAATTTAGGACTAAAAAGAGGAAAAGATCACTGCAATTTCCTGCATGTCATGGGCAGGAAGGGTGTAGAAGACCATAGTTACATTAAACAAGCAAGCATACTCCAGCTGGGACCTGCATCCATAACTGGCTTTTCAGAAAGCCATTCGCAATGACAACTTTGGCTGGTCAAACTCTACCGACAAAAATGCAAGCTCTTGAACACCTCACTTACACACTGCCTACAGAGTAACTATTAATACAGAGACAAACATCTTTTATGGGGGTGTAGTACTTCCCATGCATTCCTTCAAGGGACACTCCAGAAAGGTTGTACAAATTGTTGCAAGTTGAGTCTGGTTGTTAAAATGATGTTTCAGAGCAGAAAGGTGGCTTAATAGAATACAGGGATAAATAGGAAGGACTGTTTGAAACCTTATCTTTCACTCCTTGGTATTTTGAATTCCTGAATAAGTCCTTTCAATCAGTGAACACATTTTGAACTCAGACAAATGATATTTTGAGAATTTTTTTTTTTCCCTTAGAATTTTGTTCAAAGATTGTACTGAGAAAATTAAATATTTAAAGTTGCTTTTACTTCCTGACAGTTTAAAATGGGTTCTAAGTTCTGTCTGCCATTATTATCAAATTAAAGCTTTAATTAAAAATGCTGTGCAATTTTAAGGGTACTATCCTTTTTTGTTTCCTCAGCTATCTATCTGCTGTCCAGTACAATTAGTATTTCTTATTACGTGAAATTTAGCAGTCCACTAGAAAAATTTCTGTCTTAGCTTCAACCTGCTTCCAAATAGAAAACACTTCGTATCTGCCCATTGCATGAAATTGTCTAGAAAAATTAAAAGTAGTTTAACTTACTGAAACAGACTCTGGTAAAGCCTTAGTTTGTTATCAATATAATGGGTTTCTTAATTGCCTCAGAGATTGCAATTTTTAACTTGCTGGATTTTGTGTTTTCTGTTGGATGCTGTCCTTGCCTTTCCCCAGCAGCTAAAGCAACAACCAAAGCAACAGCTCAGAGAAGAAGCTGTATTTCCTATTGCCTTATTTCCAGTATTCTCATCATCAGTTTCTTATCTTTAAAAATTGCTTCATGTTTTGTATTTTTTTCAAAACAATAGCCTCAAACTCCCCTAACACTAAGATAAAAGCTCCAAGATATCAAAACCTAATTTTGTTGTCTCCATCTACAAACAGAGAATACTATCCTTAGAATTAGACACAGGACCACACAAAATTTTTCTGTCAAAGAAAAAAAACAGAAAATGCTACCTCAAAAACAGCTTTAAGTAAGAAAAAAAAAATAGTTCTGATTATGCTATGTTTAGTCTAGCAAAGGTTAAAGGCCCCAAAATCATCTTTTTAATCTGGCTGCATGAACACTCAAAATATTTTGCTCAAATATCACTCCATTTCTCACCCACTACTCAGGCATTTTGATTTTTGCCATGTATAAAATAATTTTATTTAAGCTGTGCCATTTGCAGTGGTGTGTTTCAGGAAATGCTCACCCTTCATTTATAATGACCTAAAGTCAGGGAGCCCTTGATATTGCCCCTCAAGCACCTACAGGCTGAAAACTCCTAAGCTGACACAGCACAACCCCAGGTGGGAGGAACTCATCCTTGTTCTGTCACTCCAATGTCTTCTTCATTTACAGTAAAACACACAATAGTGCGTACAAATACCAAACAAATGGGTAAAGCTGCATTGTTTACGTAACAGGCAGCAGCCAGCCAGCTTCCATGAGAGCAAACC